GGGATCAACAGGAAAACTTGATCCTCGTCCAACGTAGATTAAACGTGTCTATCGATGAACTCAGAAACCACATCGTTGTGGTCAATTTAATTTAACTACTTTTACAACATATAGTACTTTATATATTTAGTCTTATTCTTCTATTTATATATATATTTTCTACCGTTGATATGTTTATATCGCCTGCTTGCTTATCTCTTTTTTTGTGTTTCATTTTCTTATATGTATATCAAATCTAATCAAACCTGATGTAAGCGATGAAAACTGCAAATGCAAACCCCTCCCTCCAGTGGTGTGGTGGTCGTTGGATGCGGGGGGTCGCCGTACCCCCACTTATTTGGAGCCTCCACTTTTTTTGAATAGTCTAATAAATATAAAATCATTGCCAGTGTTATCAGTTGCAAGCAGGGGCGGACTGGCCATTGGGAATACCGGGGTTTTTCGAAGTGGGCCGGTCGGACAATTCATAGCACCCCACCCCTCCCCGTTGCCAATTGACGAGCGGTGCCGAGTTGGGCCGGTCGAGTTTCCCGGGCTGATTTTTCGTCCCGGTCCGCCCCTGGTTGCAAGTGTGTATTTGTTGTAATAATGACGAAAACATAATACATTGTACAGTAATTATAATGAAAACGTAGCTCAAGCATTTAGGCAACTTGATTTGAAGTGTGTGTGTGTGTGTGTGGTGTGTGTGTGTGTGTGTGTGTGTGTGTGTGTGTGTGTGTGTGTGTGTGTGTGTGTGTGTGTGTGTGTGTGTGTGTGTGTGTGTGTGTGTGTGTGTGTGTGTGTGTGTGTGTGTGTGTGTGTGTGTGTGTGTGTGTGTGTGTGTGTGTGTGTGTGTGTGTGTGGGGCAGCACTGTGTGTGTGTGTGTGTAGGGTGGCCAGGTGTACAGCATTTTTTATCATTTTCCCCGCGTCCCACAAATTGAGACGCATTTGAGTGACAGTCGTGCAGAAAGGCCGGCTCGGTTTGCAGACGGCCGGCACCGCCCTTTAATGTTATATCATCGACAGAGGTCCAGAGTGTACCTCCCCCCCCCCCCCCGTTGACAGTTCACGAGCGCGTCCACAGTGTCTCCCCCCGTCCACCCAGTACAAACATCCCCACTAACCCACTGCCTCCCTCCCAAAAAAAGAAACGTCACTCATTTTAAAATGTCCCTTATAACTTCTACAAATGCACTGTTTTGTTTTCAAATGTCCTATGTTATTAGATGGCTATAGCTGTCCATTTGTAAGACTTAATCATTCACAATTTAATGAATTATACTGTGATTGGCAGATTATTTTAGGGATTATTTTCCACATCCAACAACCAGCTCATTTTAAGAGTCTAAGTTTACTTTCTCCACACCATTAATGTACCGTGGTCTCTTGGTTGCTTGTACAGTTAAATACAAGTGTTAATGTAGCATACACAGGACTTGTGTTCATGTGTACCCTGCTCTTAAACTAACAACCACAATCAATATCTTGAAGTTCTAGGGATACAAATACTAATATTCAACCCTTACATCTCTTATCTTTACACACGAACCTAAACTCCTCTCCACCACGCCTCACCTCACGACCTCTGGGTACAAAAGTAAAACTGAAAGAGACAAATAAGCACCTGAACCTAAACAGAGAGTTAAAGAAGGTAATCCAGCCGCGGTGTGTCATTGAGCCGAGGGTCGTGGTGTGTGTGTGTGGTGTGTGTGTGTGTGTGTGTGTGTGTGTGTGTGTGTGTGTGTGTGTGTGTGTGTGTGTGTGTGTGTGTGTGTGTGTGGTGTGTGTGTGTGTGTGTGTGTGTGTGTGTGTGTGTGTGTGTGTGGTGTGTGTGTGTGTGTGTGTGTGTGTGTGTGTGTGTGTGTGTGTGTGTGTGTGTGTGTGTGTGTGTGTGTGTGTGTGTGTGTGTGTGTGTGTGTGTGTGTGTGTGTGTGTGTGTGTGTGTGTGTGTGTGTGTGTGTGTGTGTGTGTGTGTGTGGATGAAGCCTAAACAACGACCATCAACATTTTTAGACTCCATCCTCAAAATGAAGGAGAGCCTGATAAAATGCCACGGAGGGGCCCAGTCGTGTGTGTGTGTGTGTGTGTGTGTGTGTGTGTGTGTGTGTGTGTGTGTGTGTGTGTGTGTGTGTGTGTGTGTGTGTGTGTGTGTGTGTGTGTGTGTGTGTGTGTGTGTGTGTGTGTGTGTGTGTGTGTGTGTGTGTGTGTGTGTGTGTGTGTGTGTGTGTGTGTGTGTGTGTGTGTGTGTGTGTGTGTGTGTGTGTGTGTGTGTGTGTGTGTGTGTGTGTGTGTGTGTGTGTGTGTGTGTGTGTGTGTGTGTGTGTGTGTGTGTGTGTGTGTGTGTGCACGACCTCTGGGTACAAAAGTAAAACTGAAAAGAGACAAATAAGCACCTGAACCTAAACGCAGAGTTAAAGACGCCGTGTCATTGAGCCGAGCAGAGGGTCGTGGTGTTACCTGAGATATAATCATTTCCCTGCAGAGCGTCGCCGTGTCATTTGGAGACAGTAAGTGCAGCCTGAGAGTCAGACAGTAAGTGCTGTTTGCATACAGTCTGGTTTTTAGACGCGCGTCAATCCACACACGGAGCTATTTTCATCCCAAATCATTTAGATACACGTCATTTTATCAGTAATAGAAACACGTGGAAGTTGAACGAGCCTTCTGATTGGTTGATTGCTGTTGGAATTCTAATTCTACAATCAAAGCTAAGATCTGTTTACAATAACACCAGTGTGACCTTCCACCTGCATATTGTTTGGATGTTTTTAAGAAGCTCTTATATTCACAACCATCTGTTCTCTGACTCGACGATACTGCAGCTCTTATAGGAGCTTGTTAATATGTAGAGGTATTTATATAAAGCCTCCGGACGTATATTACTGTGTTCAAAAACACACAAAACGTTCCCCCTAACTGTCTTTCGGGGTCGTGAATCAGGAAGTGGTGACAGGTGAGGGTAGTGAAATCAAATGTGCAGACGTGCACCTATCACACACTGTCAATAGTTTGGAGGCTATTGGGTAACATACGACATCAAATATTAACCCTTAAATTGGCAATATATAAATAATTAGGATAATTATTTGATTGCTTGATTCCTTATTAAACTGTTATTACACCCATATCACACTGTTATTAAATAAATATATTAAACCCATGCTACACCTATACTTAAACTTATATTACTACGCTATTACACTGTTATAACACCCTTAGTACACATTAAATCACCCTTATTACACCCATATTACTCCGTTGTTACACCCATATCCTACTGTTATTAATCCCATATTATACCCATGTTACACCAATAATTACACTTATATTACTACGTTATTACACCCATATTACTCAGTTTTTAAACCCATATCATACTGTTATTAAACATATGTATTATACCCATGTTACACCAATACTTATACTTTACATTTTAACGTTATAACACTATTATTACACATTAAATCACCCATATTACACTCTTATTACACCCATATCGTACTGTTATTAATCTCATATTATACCTAAGTAACACCAATAATTACACTTATATTACTACGTTATTACACTGTTATTACTACGCTTTTACACAATATTACACTATAATACATGTAAAAACAACCATATCTGACCCATATTACACTGTTATTAAAAATGTATATTATACCCATGTCACACCAATAATTACACTTATATTACTACGTTATTACACCCTTTTTCCACACTATAACACCCATATTACTCTGTTATTACACCCATATTACTCTGTTATTACACCCATATTACTCTGTTATTACACCCATATTACTCTGTTATAACACCCATATTACTCTGTTATTACACCCATATTACTCTGTTATAACACCCATATTACTCTGTTATTAATCCCATATTACTCTCTTATTACACCCATATTACTCTGTTATAACACCCATATTACTCTGTTATAACACCCATATTACTCTGTTATAACACCCATATTACTCTGTTATTACACCCATATTACTCTGTTATTACACCCATATTACTCTGTTATTAATCCCATATTATACCGATGTAACACCAATAATTGCACTTATATTACTACACTTTTACACAATATTGCACTATAATACATGTAAAAACAACCATATCTGACCCATATTATACTGTTATTAAATATATATATTATACCTAAGTAACACCAATAATTACACTTGTATTACTATGTTATTAAACTGTTATTACACCCTTTTTACATAATATTACACCTGGGAGGGTTAATATCATGGTAGCAATGACAGGAAATGAGTTCCTCGCCTAAAGACAGTGTTTTCGTCTAAATGAGTAAAAACATCAGTAGATACAGGACTCTGGAAACATGTGTAACACAGACTGACGGACGGTAATGTCTGCGGCTGTATGATGGAAAGAGATATAGATAAATAAATGGAGCCCCGAGGTTATTGTTTCTAAAGGACGTGAAGAGAATGTTTCTGTTGATTGACATCCAATAACTCACACTCTTCACTGCTCTGTGGCTTGTAGTTGCACAATAACACACCACAGTAAATATCACGCAATGAATAAGAGCTAAAAACTGGAGAAATAGCCGACCTGTTATGATTCATAAATGAAATATGAAGATGAACAACTTCATGGTGGTATATTTCTTTGTCTGTATCTGATCACTCTGCATGGAGATGTGTTTAAATGTGTATTAAACAACGAATGTACGTTTTTTATGACCAATGTATACTGAGGATAAGCCGTTAGCAGATTTAAAGGAAGTGCAATAGGCACATTTTTACTATTAAATATAACAAATGTACTTATTCCCGAGAGAAAACGTAACATATCCCAGAAAAATCATGTTTTTGTGATTTAAAAAAGGTCAAAATGGTCATAAAAAAACCACAAAACTAATGTATTTTGTAGGGATTTCGATTTTTTTTGAACTCTTATAATGGAAATGCAACTGTGATGGATGTGCCGTGGGTTGTTGGAAACATTTAATGTGATTTTGAAAGACTCACCCTGCTGCCTTTCTCCGGATTACATCTGCATCCTTCTCCACAGTTGCGTCCGGCACACGGCTCGTCAAACTCGTTGCCCTGCAGAAACAAAAACAGACACGGATTAATAACAATGCTTTGGGAATATATGACGAATATAATGACGAATATAATGACGAATATAATGACGAATATAATGACGAATATAATGACGAATATCCCTTGTTCAACAACCTCCAATGAACCCTGAAGTCTTTGCTTAAAGAGGCAGAAGCATGTCAAATCTCCGTGAGTCATGTGGCGTTGCATCAGTGAGACGTCTGCAGGCATTTAGGGAAAGGGTCAAGATGCAGTGAGTGGATAAAAAGTGCGTAATTATTTAAAGGGCAGATCTAATTGAAGTACAGAACATGTACTATCAGGTTCTCTGTGTGTGTAAACCTTTATTTGTCTCTCTTTATGCTTAAGATTTCTGGTTTTCTAATCCGATATGTCACCGCTGTCTGTCTCCTGCAGCGCTTTGCTATGATGAATAACAGACACACAAAAGCCTCAACTACCAGCAGAGAAAAGAGAATTTTTAGGACTCTACAATTATCACAAATGAGCGATACATGAGGGTTTATTAAGTGGATGAACTACATTTGTATGATACTCTTTAATTGGCACCATGCTGTGGCAGGATAGAGGTTTAAAAAAGACAGATATAGCCTTTTAAATCATTAGAGAATTGACTCAAACATATATTGTGTTTGTATCTGTATGCATATAATAAGCAGCTTTTGAAGGGGTTAAATCATGCATGGTATAACTGGATTAAACCAATAAAAAACACTTTTTCACTTGTCCTATCAAATCAAGCTTCCTTTTTCTTACATTTCCTGCCAGATTTTTCAACGACAACCTCCACTTAAATGGCAACTTAGCTGACGTAGATCATGTGATATGGTAGCTGATAAATAGAGCTCAAGTAAAAGGCAATTATATCAATACAATTGGACTAAAACATGCAAAAAACGTTCCAAAATTCCAACAATTTATAGATTAAAGTCTTTCCTCAAGACCGGCATTTGATTAAATGGTTAAAACATATCGAGTTCGGGCCTTTAAATCAACACATTTGACATTAAAATGCAGTATTTTGAACTCAAGTTCAGATAAGGTATTGGAAACAGTTAAGCTTTTTCTGGCGCTTATAACGGCATCTAACGGTCTTCCTCAGCTGCAGTTTGCTAAGTAGTAATGGAGATATATAGCCAGTAAGTGGACTTTGAGATTATAGGCGCTTTCACACCGGAGTGCTTTTCCGGTTTAGTTCCGATAGTTCCTGGGATTTTGCGTTCACACCAAAACTTAGTTCATGAGAACTTTTCCCCCGTTTTCAGTCCCTGCTAGAGAGGTGGTACTCTCCGGGGGAGAAAAAAGTTCCAATTTCGTATTGGCTGGGCGGATTGCAAACCACGCCCCGTAAAACTCTGAAAGGTTTAGCATAATTAGCATTAGCCCCGCGCACAGACGCAGAGAGACTAACTTATGGCAACACAAAAGAAAACATGGGAGCGGTGGAGATGAGGAGGTGTCGGCGTTCTGGCGATTTACTCGGAAGGCTTCAGTAGAAGCTGCTGGGAGTCCCAGCAGCTTCTACTGAAGCCTTCCCTAACTCCGGGGACTTCCGGCCGGGGACTTCGGGTGGCAGTAAAGTGGTTTGCGGCCTGCCAGTTAACCCAAAGCAGAAGAAGAAGAAGTGACGTCAGCGGCTCATTTGCCTAATCCACCCTCTGGGAACTTATTCCGGTGTGAACGCGATCAGCTCTTTAGTTCCATGGGGGAACTAAGTGCTGGGAACTAAGTACGGCAAAGTACTTGGTGTGAAAGCGGCTAATATGTCTACTTTTACCTTATTGTCTTGCATTTTTGCCAGTGTTACACCCTCACACACCCCATCTTACACACAGTAAACAATCTGTGCATCCCCACGCGCCTAAACTCCACATGAACCGCAGATTAACCCCGCTGTGTTCAGGGTGGCATTCCTGAGATATCTAGCAAACATCACGCCGCGCTTTCTGAGTTTATAACAGAGCTTTCATAAGCTGACGTATGACATGGCATAAGCTCATATACCTTGAGCCTCTTATGACTTCAAAACAGCTTCTTTTCACTTTGGACCACCTGCTGAGAGGAGATGTAGATGTGTGTGTGTGTGTGTGTATATATGATAATACTGTTTTTTAATCTCAAATTTGTTCTATGATGGATACATGTAGGAGTCACCAAAAAACTCACCAAATGTCACTTTTGAGTGCATAGTTCAGGGGTCTATTTGGGGTCAAACTCAGAGGTCACAGCTGGCATTTCGATGTGATTAGTGATGAAAGGCTGTGGAGAGTGGGGACAGGCGACGGGGGAGAAAAAGGGTGTGGACGGGGGAGTGATGGAGGCTCAGGGGTGCATTAGTTCATATGACCACAGTCTGTGAGTGTTCGTATTCATAATAAAGGAGGTCAGAGACCCTCAGGACCCCCGTAAGCAGTCATCAGATGGTCTAGTCTGGGAATCAGGCGATATAATGAGAGCCTGGGAACCACCAGGGAGTGTTGAGTTATGCTGTCATAGTAAGTGTTTTTGAATTGTTATGTTTAGAGAATTTAAGGTGAATGCTAAGAAATATGTGAAATATATTCCAAACAATTATGAATAAGGTTGAAATATGATGCATTTTTCTAGATTGAACCAGCAAACCGTAGATAAAGGAAGTACAAACATACTGTACAGCTGTAAGAAATAAGAGTTGTGAAAAATATAATACAAGGTCTGAAAACTACCCGAAGAAAATGAAACTAAATTGAAGAAATTGCGTAAAAGCACTTCTGGTGGAAAATGCATGTAAAACGTCTTAAAAATAGTGAGGAAAATATGTGAAAAATGAACGAGAAGTATGTGAACAAATCTCCTACGGAACACGTGAACAATGTCCAAAAGAAAATCAAAAAGACGTGATAAAGGGATGATCTTATAGAATATGATGGTAAATACAGGTGGGATAGGAAGGACACACATCTGTAGCAGTAACAGTATGACCCCTAACCCTAATAATATAAAACACTTAAGACTTCCAGTACTTCTACAGCATGAAACATAAAGACAGGAGAGAAAGCGAGGCTTGGCACAAAGTAAAAAGCACAGAGAGAAAGAGAGAGGGAGAGAGAAGGAGGTGAAAGGTCAGCTCTCCCCCCTCTGATCTCCTCGACTCGTGTAATCACAATGACAGAAGGAGGGCAAGAGAGGGAGGAGTCGAGCAGGGAAACACTGACGTTTGGGCCAATGGAGGCGGCGAGTAAGAGCAATGGACGGACAGCGAGAGCAACTCTTTGGCGAAGGACATGAAGAAGCTAAACATAGACGTCAAATACGCTTTAACGCTACGATTTAAGTCCGAATGAGAACAATGGAGAAAGGATGAGAAGTGAATGCAGTTTAAGGGCATTTTAGGCAAAGGAGGGAAAAGTGACAAAAGGTGGTGCTGCAGGTGATCTCTATATCCAGTGTCTTTATTATCCTCCTTTTGTTAAGGCTGACATTCCTCCTCAGGTACTGTCCAATCAGAGCAGGCGACCTCTCATTGTTAATGCCTCTTTAGATGTATTGTTCGGAGATATAATCCGGCCTCACTTCACTCTGTCCGCACCCACGTGAAGGATGATATGAGCAAACAGGGTGGGGTACATATACCCTCATAGATGTGTTGTTAAATACACAGAAAGAAGACAATAAAGAAATATTAGAGGTAAATGGAGAACGTGTAGAGGCAGGTAGAGCTGCATAGCGATATACAATCTATACATGGCATTACCCTGAACATAATGCAAGGATAAATACTAAGTAGTGGAGTACAAATACTTTGTTACTGTACTTAAGTAAATTTTTCTGGTATCAGTACTTTACTCCACTACTTGTTTTTCTGACGACTTTTTACTTCTACTTCTTACATGTTGAACACAAATACCTGTACTTTCTACTTCCTACATGTTGAACACAAATACCTGTACTTTCTACTTCTTACATGTTGAACACAAATACCTGTACTTTCTACTTCTTACATGTTGAACACAAATACCTGTACTTTCTACTTCTTACATGTTGAACACAAATACCTGTACTTTCTACTTCTTACATGTTGAACCCAAATACCTGTACTTTCTACTTCTTACATGTTGAACCCAAATACCTGTACTTTCTACTTCTTACATGTTGAACTCAAATACCTGTACTTTCTACTTCTTACATGTTGAACCCAAATACCTGTACTTTCTACTTCTTACATGTTGAACTCAAATACCTGTACTTTCTACTTCTTACATGTTGAACACAAATACCTGTACTTTCTACTTCTTACATGTTGAACCCAAATACCTGTACTTTCTACTTCTTACATGTTGAACTCAAATACCTGTACTTTCTACTTCTCACATGTTGAACCCAAATACCTGTACTTTCTACTTCTTACATGTTGAACCCAAATACCTGTACTTTCTACTTCTTACATGTTGAACTCAAATACCTGTACTTTCTACTTCTCACATGTTGAACCCAAATACCTGTACTTTCTACTTCTTACATGTTGAACACAAATACCTGTACTTTCTACTTCTTACATGTTGAACCCAAATACCTGTACTTTCTACTTCTTACATGTTGAACACAAATACCTGTACTTTCTACTTCTCACATGTTGAACCCAAATACCTGTACTTTCTACTTCTTACATGTTGAACACAAATACCTGTACTTTCTACTTCTTACATGTTGAACACAAATACCTGTACTTTCTACTTCTTACATGTTGAACACAAATACCTGTACTTTCTACTTCTTACATGTTGAACCCAAATACCTGTACTTTCTACTTCTTACATGTTGAACACAAATACCTGTACTTTCTACTTCTTACATGTTGAACCCAAATACCTGTACTTTCTACTTCTTACATGTTGAACCCAAATACCTGTACTTTCTACTTCTTACATGTTGAACTCAAATACCTGTACTTTCTACTTCTTACATGTTGAACCCAAATACCTGTACTTTCTACTTCTACA